ATCCGCCTGCCTCTGCCTCCCGAGTGCTGGGATTACAGGCGAGCGCCGTCACTGGCCACCACTGGTCCAGCATAGACAGTTTTTTTTCACACCAAGTAGACTGAGCCCAGCTCCTCCACTGGAGCTGAGCAGAGACAGCCGTGCTGCCAATCAGCCAGCCCTTCTGAGGCTTCCCTGCCAGACCCTGCAAGAGGGCACAGAGGTGACTGGGGGGTAGTAACCAGGGGCGCTCTCTAGATGCTTGCACACAGCTTGAAAGCTGAGAAAAGGCCAGGTGACCCAGCCAAAGGGAAACAGGGGAGGGGCCGACATGAGAGACTGATGGAGGGCCTAGGGAGAGAGACAGCTGTCTCCAGGAGAAAATCCCTTGTTTTGGGAAGAACATGATTTCCTCATCTACCGAGGTTTCAGTATCTCCCAGGCCATGCCCTTCCCTCCTCTGCGTGTGTGAGTGTGCACTCGTGAGTGTGTGTGTGCCCATGGACCACCTGTGAAGGTCAATGAGTCAGGTCTCAGGCGTGGGCAGCAAGGACCCTTCCCGGCTGAGCCTTCCTACCCTTTCAACATCCGTTTCTCAGTCTCAGTACCTCAGGCTAGACTTGAATGTGTTATTTGCTTTGCGCCCAAAGATGACCTCGAACTTCTGAGCTTCCTGTCTCTACCACCTCCCAAGTGCTGGGGTTACAAGCCTGTGCCATAACCCCTGGTTTATGAGATCTTAGGCTCAAACCCAGGGCCTTCTGCATGCCAGTCAAGTCCTAACCAACTGAGCTGCCCAGATCCTCTCCTCCAGGGCTGTTTTCTCTGTCCCTCTGTGTCCTCAGTGAATACACCCCAAAGCAGTTAGGCAGTTCTTGAGATATGGGGGAGATGTGGGGGAAGACGTCAACCCCCGCTCCCCCAACAGTCTAATGGATGGGATGCACTTCTGTTCTCCCTCAGTGCCAGCAGAGTGGAGACTGGCAGCCCAAAGGCAGCAGAAAACACCTCAGGGACTCAGACAGCGATGGGTGTGGCGCTGTCACCCGCAAACCAGATCTAGCTGAGAACCAGATGCCAAAAAGCAGAACTCTGGGAGCCGGGACGCCCTCCAGGAGGTTGGGAGCCTTCTCCAGGGTGCCTTACCCCTGGCCCCCTCCCCCACACCTCCTGATTCTCTGAGGTCACTGTGGGTCTGCTCTTGAATGGCTGGACAGTGGAAGCCCCTTTATTTCTTTGTAAGTTGTCTGGGTTTTGAGCCGTGTGCTGAGTGAATCTGAAAATAACAAAAAAGGAACTGTGAGAAGGAGCGCCCCTGGTGCTGGCCCTGGTGCCCATGAGAACTTCCTCTAGAACATTCCAACAGTGTTGGTTTTTTTTTTCATGGGTTTCTCAGTAAAAAAACGTCAGAGACTGAAACCAAACAAAAATGAGGATATACAACCTTGCAAGCACCTGCGAGTGGAGGGTTATTTTATTTATTTTTCGAGACAGGGTTTCTCTGTGTAGCTCTGGCTGTCCTGGAACTCACTCTATAGACCAGAATGCCCTTGAATTCACAGAGATCTGTCTGCCTCTGTGGGGGGGGGATGGGGGAGGTGTTGGGGTGTTACAGGTGACAACAAAGTACAAGTTTATTAACAATTACGTTTTGACGTTCATTTGTGTGTGCGCCATAGTGTACGCGTGCAAACAGAGGGCAGCTTACAGAAACCATTCTCTTCCTCTACCTTGAGGGTCCCTGGGATCCAACTCAAGTCATCAGGCTTGATAGCAACACCCTCTGAGCCACCTCTTCAGCCCAGAAATGTTATTCATAAGCACTGAAACCTGAAAACAACCAAGGCGTCCTAACATTCAGCAGGTGACTGGCTACACAGACTGGGTGGGGCATCCACACAAGATTTTCGCTTGTTTGCCTTGGTTGGAGATCCAGAGCCGGGTGGTGCTCGAGCCACGCCCCGTCACACGGGTAAGCACGAGAAGTTTCTCAGCTTCTGGCTAAGTAAAGGAAGCTCCAGCGGGTACCCGCGATGCCCCAGGGTCTGAGACAGCAGTGACTGTGGCTAAGAACAGACCCCAGGCATTTGCCCGGGGAATTTAAGAATGAGAACGGTGAGCATGAAGAACAAGGCTCCTCATCTCTGGCCCCGAAGAAGACAGATGAGCCGGGCGGGTGAGCCCGCAGTCCCTGCACTCGGAAAGCGGGGCCAGAACAATCACCATAAGCTGGGGTCCAACCTGGTCTACACAGCCAGCCCAGACTAGCCAGGACTACAAAGTGAGATCAGTCCCAAAACAAAAACAGAGTCAGAAGCTGGAGAGGTGGCTCAGCAGATGGGAGATAAGGCTGCTCTTCCAGAGGACCCCGGTTCAGTCCGGCACCCACATCATGGCGGCTCCCAATTGTCTGTAACTCCGGTTCCGGAGGACTTGACACCCTCATACAGACGCACATGCAGCCAAAACATCAATGCACATAGGATAAAGACAGCAAAGTTGTTTTAAAGAGGAAGTTTAAGCTAGACATTGGTGGCCCACACCTTTAATCGCAGCACTCAGGAGGCAGATCTCTGTGAGTTTGAGGCCAGCCTGGTCTACAGAGCGAGTTCCAGCACCACGGCCTCCAAGACAATACAGAGAAACCCTGTCTCGAAAACCAAAAAAAAAAAAAAAAAAATGCAGTTTGCTTCTCTTGCACAGGACCCACATTGAGAGCTTGGACCTACACTGGCAAATCACAAGGGCCTCTAATTCCAGCTCCAAGACTTGCAGTGCCCTCCTCTGGACTCTGTGGGAACTGCATTCATATGTGCACATACAGTTCCTGCCCCCACCCCCACCCCCCCATACACCGAATTACAAATAAAACAATTCTAGAGGCTGGAGAGATGGCTCAGAGGTTAAGAACACTGGCTGCTCTTCCAGAGTTCCTGAGTTCAATTCCCAACAACCACATGACAGTTCACAACCGTCTGTAATGAGATTCTCATCTGTAATGAGATCTGGTGCCTCCGGCCTGCAGGGATACATGGAGACAGAACACTGTATACATTATATATCTTTAAAAAAAAAGAAAAGAAAAAAGAAAAAAACGTTTTCCAAGTGATTCTGTATTAACTTAGAGTGACATGGTTTTTCTCTTTTGTTTTGTTTTTTGACTCATGGTTCTGCAGGGCTTGGGCACCTGAGGTCTACCTTCTTCATCTTGATGGTTGGGAAAACTGAAGCCAAAGACACACAGCAAGACCCCTCCACCAAGTTTGAATCCTCTTGCAGACAGCAGGTTGCCTGGGGCCGGCTCCCTCCCCCCCCCAAAGCAGCCCAGCTGTGAGACACCAACCCTATTTGTTCAAGACCATGGAGACATTTATTCCCTCCAAGGAGGCGGGGGAAGTCCAGACGAACTCCTAATAGGTCTGTTTAGGGCGTGATGAGGTCACACAAGGCTTCACTTCCCCAAGCTGACGGGAACTGTTATTTTTCTGGTTTATCTTTTCACATGACTGGATTCACTAAATATATTGAACTTCAATGACCAGATTGCAAATATGCAAAAATTAGGACTGGGTTACAAGACCATGAAAACTGGCACCTGTCGAGGTGTGCTCTCGTGTGCGCATGCGGACAGCACCTATCAACACATACTGAGGAGAGCAGAGTCCGTGCAAACGAGAAGAAGATACGGTGGAGAAAAACAGACTCTTCAACAGCAGCAATATTCCATATGCTGCAACAATTAACATCTAACTCCAGGGGGTGGGGCAGAACTTCAATCCATGTCTCATAAACACACACACACACACAAACTAGACTTCATGAAAATTAAACATTTCTAGGCCAGGTATCAAACGGGATGCGGGGAAAGGAAGATCAGGACTCACGGGCCATCCACAGCCATATAAAAGTTTGAGGCTGGCTTGGGCTACATGAGAACCTACCCCCCAAAAAATTAAATTTCTGATACTTGAAGGCTGGCTCTGGAGCTGGCTCGGCCGATAACGGCGCTTGCTACCAGCATTGACATCTAAATTCTATCTCTCAGACACGGTGGGAGGGGAGAGGTGGCTTCTGCAAGTTGTCCTCCAAACATGGCCACCCACGCAATTTTTAAAATTACATTAATTTTTAAAAATGTGTGCCAAGCCGGGCGGTCGTGGCGCTCGCCTTTGATCCCAGCACTCGCGCCGGGGCAGACGGATCTCTGTGAGTTTGAGGCCAGCCTGATCTACAGAGCGAGTTCCAGGACAGCCTCCAAAGCTACACAGCAAAAAACAAAGCAAAAAAAAAAAAAAAACAAAAACAAAAACAAAAAAAACAAACAAACGAATAACACGTAAATAAGGGTACATTAACCCGTTACAACAAATGGCTTAGGTCTCAGCTCAGATACACTTTTTGTTGTTGCTGTTTTGGGGGACAGAGTCTTACGTTGCCGGGGCTGGCTTTGAACTTTGTAGCGAGGGATAACGTTGAACTCCCGGTCTTCCTCCCGGTGCCCCAGCCACCTCGCCTGGCTGCGTGTGACAAACGTCAGGGACACAGGGATAAAGGTTCTCATCCCGAGAACCCATCTATAACCTCGACCCAACCCCGGTCCTCCAGGCTGGGGATGCCAGGCTTCCCTCCCTTCATCCTTCCCAATGCTAGATTATACGGATTCTGAGACGACACTGATTGGAAGAAAAGTGGCTCAAGTCCAGCGAGCCCTAACCCTTCCACATCCTCCGCCGACCTCAGAGGATCGCGCCACCGAAAGAGGCCGCCTAAAAAAAACCTCGTAAGCGCCTGCTTTTCCATCCGCTTCCTTCGGACGTCCGTAAGGCGCGCAGGCGCAAGCGCAAGCGCAAGCGCAGCAGGACTACATCCCCCAGGAGGCTCTTCGCTGCTTTCCCAAGGGTGGGGAGGGGCTTGGCAGCCGAAGACTACATTACCCATCAATACCTCTCGCGGTGACATTAGGTGATCCCTCCTACGCAAAGCGATTGGACCAGCGGCGGCCAGAAGCTGCACGGTGATTGGCCGGGCAGCCCATCAGTTACTGGCAAGTGCAGTTCAGTTTCGCTGTTGGGTTACGCTGAGAAGGAAGGAGCACTGAGCTTGTGGAGCCCGGCGCCACCTGCCGCGTCAGGTGAGTGATCTCTAGCTTTGCTCTCCTCCTGGTACTCTCTCGGGAACTGGCGCCCCCGGCTTCCTGAGTCGGAACACGGGGAGCAGAATGGCAGGTATCCACGCGGGGCGGGGACGGATGCTCACGTGGCAACACCTGACCCCCCGGGAGCATCTTCAGGGACGCGGAAGGCGAATCCCCCGCCGCCGCCGCCGCCACCACCGCCGCAGGGCTTGCACGTGGGCTTGCTTGTCCGCTGCTCCGGACTCACGGGGAAGCCCGAGCCCGCCGGGTACGCCTGGACGGTGCACTCACCCCCACGGGGCCGTCTGCAGAGCTCCTCAGCTGCACACGTGAGCTCTCGGTTACCCACCGAATGATACCTGTCCACCCCGCATGTGGGGGTGGGGTGGGGTGAAGAAATTCGCTTGCACCCCATGCACTGACACTCAGGAGGTCAGCCGCCTTCCCTGTCTCGGCCATGCATTGTTCCTATCATACAATCATTTTTTAATCTGTCTAGATATCGAGATTATCGGTACAAGGAGATTTTGAATGAGCGGGAGATTGCTTTTTCCCTTTGTTTATTTTTGCTCGGCTAGACTTGAACCTGCCGTGTTATCGAGGACGACCTTGAACTCTTGGGTCGGTTGCGGCCAAGTGTTACAGGCTGCACCCTGCTGGCTTGTGCTCCTTGTGGGGACCGAATCCAAGGCATTTCACCAACTTTACTGCTTTCAGCCCTGATTTTAAAAATGTTTGTGTTCTTGTGGTCTTCTTTTCTAGAAAACACACATTCCAAAAGCTTTTTAGGTGTGTATGTCTTGCTGGTTTTCAAAATTTGTCACTTAATCTGATCAGCAATCTAGACCAGGCAGGTCAAACATCACCGCTTTCCATAATTGAAAACTGAGTTAGTATTTTTTTTTTTGTCTTTTCGAGACAGGGTGTCTCTGTATTTTTTGAGGGGGGTGTTCGAGATAGGGTTTCTCTGTATTGTTTTGGAGGCTGTCCTGGAACTCGCTCTGTGGACCAGGCTGGCCTCGAACTCACAGATATCCACCTGCCTCTGCCTCCCGAGTGCTGGGATTGAAGACGTGCCCTGAGTTGGTATTTTTATTTCATTTAGAAGATTTCTTTTTGCCGGGTGCTGGTAGCACATGCCTTTAATCCCAGCACTCGGGAGGCAGAGGCAGGCGGATCTCTGTGAGTTCGAGGCCACCCTGGTCTACAGAGCAAGTTCCAGGACAGCCTCCAAAACAATACAGAGAAACCCTATCTCGAACACCCCCCTCAAAAAATATTTTTTTAACTTATTTTTCTGTGGATGAACTTTTGCCTGCTTATATTTCACCACACGCATGTCTGGTGCAGGAGGAGACCAGAAGAGAGTTTCAGATCCCCAGAGACTGGAATTACAGCTATGAGCCTTTATGGGGTACTAGGGATCAAACCTAGGTCCTCAGTAAGAGCAACAGCCAGTGCGCTTAACTACTGAGCCTTGACTCCAATTGGGCTTTTGTTTGTTTGTTTTCCAGACAGGGTTTCTCTGTGTAGCTTTGGAGGCTGTCCTGGAACTCACTCTGTAGAGCAGGCTGGCCCTGAACTCACAGAGATCCGCCTGCCTCTGCCTCCTGAGTGCTGGGATTAAAGGCGTGCACCACCTGGCTTCCAGTTGGTATTTTATTTTTATTTTTTTTATTATTATTATTATTATTATTATTATTATTATTATTTTGGTTTTTCGAGACAGGGTTTTTCTGTATTGTTTTGAAGGCTGTCCTGGAACTCCCTCTGTAGACCAGGGTGGCCTCGAACTCACAGAGATCCGCCTGCCTCTGCCTCCCGAGTGCTGGGATTAAAGGCGTGAGTCATCAGTGCCCGGCCCAGTCGGTATTTTAAAAGTTGCCCCTGGTCTATGAGAGAGACAGAACTTGAACACAGGTTTTTTTTTAAGGTTTATTTATTTTATGTACATGGTGCTCTGTCTACATATAGAGACTACATGCGGGAAGAGGGCATCAGATCTCATTGCAGATGGTTGTGAACTACATGTGGTTGTTGGGAATTGAACTCAGGTCCTCTGGAAGAGCAGCCAGTGCTCTTAACCTCTGAGCCATCTCTCCAGCCCCAATTTGGTGTGTGTGTGTGTGTGTGTGTGTGTGTGTGTGTATGTATGTATGTATGTATGTATGTATGTATGTATGTATGTATGTATACACATACATAGAGTCTGACACACCACAAAGAGAGTGCAGAGGTCAGAGACAACTTTCCGGGGTCGGGTCTTTCCTTCCATCAGGGAAAGTCCCTGGATGGAGCTGGGGCTTCAGGCTGGGCAGCAGTGTCCTTTCCCACTAAGCCATCTCTGTGGCTCCAAGCTTTTATTTCTGGGATACAGTAAGCTTGGGGCTTTGTGCATACAAGACAGGTTCTCTACCCCTGAGCTGTACATCGAACACACACACACACACACACATTCACACGCACACACACACACACACACACACACACACACACACACACACACACACCCTCACCGTGCAGAGGAGTGGAGCCCAGGGCCTTGGACGAACACACACGCACACACACACGCGCGCGCACACACACGCACACACGCGCACGCACACACGCGCGCACACACGCCCTCACCGTGCAGAGGAGTGGAGCCCAGGGCCTTGGACGAACACACACACACGCACACACGCGCGCGCACACACACACACGCCCTCACCGTGCAGAGGAGTGGAGCCCAGGGCCTTGGACGAACACACACACACGCACACACGCGCGCGCACACACACACACGCCCTCACCGTGCAGAGGAGTGGAGCCCAGGGCCTTGGACGTGCTTGGCTAACACGCTGCTTTTTGTCTGGGTTTCTTTAGTCTTATGTAGCCCAGGCTAGGTCCTGATCCTCTTGCCTTTGCCTCCCACATGCTGGGATTGTAGGTGTGAACCACAGTTTGCTTTTCTCTTTCTTTCTTTTTTTTTTGGTTTTTCTCAACAGGGTTTCTGTGTAGCAGCTCTGTAGACCAAGCTGGCCTCGAACTCACAGAAATCTACTTGCCTCTGCCTCCCGAGTGCTGGGATCAAAGGCGTGCGCCACCACCACCGGGCTTATTTTTGCTTTTTACGTTAAGACAGGGTCACACCATGCTGTCCTGGCTGGGCTCACACTGTGCTCCTTCTGCGTCAGTCTCCCTACTTAGCTAGAACCCAGGCTGCTTGATCTGTATCCAGCAATATAGAACTGCTTATTTCTTGAAATCCAGGCACAGCAGCCCCTCCCACTTTCTACTTAGCTAGAGTGGTGTGCAGTTACAGGTTGGGCTTCCAGATAGACTCACTATCTCTCAGCTTATGGGGACAACGAGCCAGGACACCTGCCACTCGGCTTTCTTTCCCTCCTGGACTGCAGGAAACTTGAAACCGTTCTGGACTGAGCAGGCCATGTCACCCATGAGAGGGTTCATGGCTTTAGTCCTATGCCCTTGTTTAACCCAGTTCTCCCGGGCTTCTGGGAGAGGTGCCAGGGTAGATGAGAGAGGGAAATCCAAAGTCAGAATGGAGGAATGGAAGTTGTCTCCAGGTCACCAATGACCTCCTAGTTACTGTGCATGTTCAAGCTGTGGGATAATTCTGATGGCCTTTCTAAAATCATTATATTTTTAGGTGTTTTGTTTGTTTATTTTGTTTGGGGGGTATCTTAGTTAAAGTTCTTTTGCTGTGAAGAAATATCATGACCATAGCAACTCTTTTCGAGACAGGATTTCTCTGTGGCTTTGGAGGCTGTCCTGGAACTAGCTCTTGTAGACCAGGCTGGTCTCTGACTCACAGAGATCCGCCTGCCTCTGCCTCCCGAGTGCTGGGATTAAAGGCGTGCGCCACCAACACCCGGCCACAGCAACTCTTTTTTTTTTAAAGATTTATTTATTTTATTATGTGTACAATGTTCTGTCTGCATATATTCCTGCACACCAGAAGAGGGCACCAGATCTCATTACAGATGGTTGTGAGCCACCATGTGGTTGCTGGGAATTGAACTCAGGACCTCTGGAAGAGCAGCCAGTGCTCTTAACCTCTGAGCCATCTCTCCAGCCCCCACAGCAACTCTTTTTTTTTTTTTTGGTTTTTCGAGACAGGGTTTCTCTGTGGCTTTGGAGGCTGTCCTGGAACTCACTTTGTAGACCAGGCTGGCCTCGAACTCACAGAGATCCGCCTGCCTCTGCCTCCCGAGTGCTGGGATTAAAGGCTTGCGCCACCAACGCCCGGCCCCCATAGCAACTCTTATAAAAGAAAATATCTAATTGGGGCTGGCTTTTAGGTTCAGAGCGTCCATGGCAGCGTGCTGGCAGACAAGGTGCTGGAAAAGGAGCCAAGAATTCTATATCCAGGTTAGCGTACAACAGTAAGAGTGATCCTGGCTGGCCTTGACTTGTGGCTCTGAAACCTTAAAGCCTACCCCAAGTGACACATTTTCTCCCACAGGGCCATTCCTCCCAAAGGTGCCACTACTCCCTATGGGCCTGTGGGGGCTTGGAATTTGCTGTGTAGACCAGGCTGACCTTGAATTTGCCTCTGTCTCTCAGGTGCTCGGTGAATTACAAAGAAAGGAAAGGCAGAGGACACTGGGTGGTAGCTTGCTGGAGCTAGGATTATATTTTTAATTTAATTAAAATCTTTAGATTTATGTATGTCATGTGTTTGAAGGTTTGCTCACGTGCCTGTATATATGTGTTCTACCTGCATGCCTGGTGCCTGTGGAGGTCAGAAGAGGGTATAGGATGACCCAGAATTTTACTCACGGACAGTTGTGAGCTGCAATGTGGGCGCTGGGAATCGAACCCAGGTCCTCTGTAGGAGTAACAAGTGTTCTTAATCTCTAGGCCATCTCACCAGCCCTAATTTTCTTTTTGATTCTGTGTTATTTTTAAATATGAGTGGGGGGGTGGATATGTGTACATGAGCACAGAAACCCTCAGAGGAACAAAGAGGACATTGGCTCTCTGGGACTGGAATCACAGCTATCTTTGAATTACCAGATGTGGGCATTGAGATCTGGGACTAGCTCTTGTAGACCAGGCTGGTCTTGAACTCACAGAGATCCCCCTGCCTCTGCCTCCCCAGTGCTGGGACTAAAGGCGTGCACCACCAGTGCCCATCTAGGCACTGAGATTTGAATTCCTATACCCATGATTAAGCAGCAGAGCTTCTAACTGCTGAGCCACCATCCTTGGTTCAAATTGACCTTTTTCTGTCAGTGGATGTGTAAGGCAAAGAGTTGAGGTCAAGGCCGTGTTTCTACCAGCTTGTTTTCTTTCTTTGTTCATTTTTTGTTTTCGTTTTTTTGTTTGTTTGTTTGTTTTGTTTTTTGAGACAGGAGTTCTCTTTGTAGCCCTGGCTGTCATGGAACACTTTTGTAGACCAGGCTGGCCTGGAACACAGAGATCCACCTGCCTCTGCCTCCTAAGTGCTGGGACTAAAAGTGTGCACCACCATGCCCGTCTCTGTGGGCTTACATTCTATCGGGAGGACAAGAAACCGTATCCAGGGGGCTGGAGAGATGGCTCAGAGGTTAAGAGCACTGACTGCTCTTCCAGGGCTCCTGAGTTCAATTCCCAGCAACCACGTGGTGGCTCACAACCATCTACACATCAGTCTGGTGCCCTCTTCTGGCGTGTAGGCAGAACACTGTATATGTGATAAATAAATAAATCTTAAAGAAAAAAAAAAGTGTATCCATAGGAATAAGGCTACAAAGGCCAGTGCCCCAGGCTGCTGCAAGGAGGTGGTGTCTGAGCAGATGCTGTGGGAACTCGTCTTTACTCCGTGACTCTTTCAGACAGCCTGATACTCATGGACATTGGATGGACCAGAGGCAGGGATGGTCGGCTATGATGCCAAAGCAGATGCCAGGAGTAACTCCAAGTTGGAGGTGGCGGTGGCAGGCTCAGTGTCTGGATTTGTCACTCGCGCCCTGATCAGCCCTTTGGATGTCATCAAGATCCGCTTCCAGGTACCCTTTCTCCTCTCTTCCGTGTAGCGGGTGAGGGAATAAACAGGGTCAGCCCTTCTTACGAAGGCGGCTCCTAAAACTTGGGATTTTGTCAAGGTGAAGGGTTTCATTGCCTTGAGCTCCCTCCTTGTCACTCACCCCTCCCCCACCATCCTGACCTTTTACCCTTTAATCCCTAGCTTCAGATTGAGCGCCTGTGTCCAAGTGACCCCAACGCCAAATACCACGGGATCTTCCAGGCAATCAAGCAGATTCTACAGGAGGAGGGCCCTTCGGCTTTCTGGAAAGGGCACATTCCAGCACAGATCCTGTCCGTAGCCTATGGAGCCGTCCAAGTAGGTGTCGGAGAACCAGGCCAGGTCCCTGGGGTCCCATTGCTCCATGGAGCAGAGAACGGGTGAGGCAAGTAGGGACGCTGCCTTGGTGACAGTCCCCACTCTGCCCAGAAACTTACTCTGACCATGTGAAATGTCATCTGTTAGCCACGCCTCAGGCCTTTTCTCCCCACATCCTGTCCTCCTTCTCTTCCTGACCCTGTCCGGGGCAGACTGAGGAATGCTCTCCATATAGCCTCCATTTTTCTTTTCTTTCTTTCTTCCTTTTTTTTTTTTTAAAGATTATTGTATTATGTATATAGTGTTCTGTCTGCATGTATCCCCATGCAGGGCACCAGATCTCATTACAGATGGTTGTGAGCCACCATGAAGTTGCTGGGAATTGAACTCAGGACCCCTGGAAGAGCAGCCAGTGCTCTTAACCTCTGAGCCATCTCTCCAGCCCCCATTTTTCTTTTTTAAATTTCAAAGGGGGACATGTGCTTGCTGCATGATTCCTGCCAGGGTGTCAAGGCCAGAGGCCAGTTTCCTTGAGCCAGCTCTCTCTTAGCGCGTGGGTCCTGGGTTCACCGGGCGTTTGGTTTGCTTGTTTTTGTTTTGGGGGGGTGGCAGATTCTATGTAGCCCTGTCTGTTCCGGAACGCTGGGGAGAACAGGCTCGCCCAGGACTCAACAGAGAGCCACCCGCTTCTGCCTCCCAAGTTCTGGGATTGGTGCAGCACTGTGCCTGACCAGGGTCCAGGGGTTCAAACTCAGGTTCTCAGACTTGGCTGCCAGCGCCTTTACCACTGAAACGGCGCCCTCCCCAAGGCCGTCCTCACTGCGGCTCACTGGCTCATAAGAGGAACATCCGGCAGGTGCCCCCGGGGATTGCAGGGCAGCAGCCAGGACCTCACGACCGGCCATGATGGGGTGGAGAGTAACACACGGCTTCTCGCGTCTCATCATTCCCTGCTTTAGCTGGGTACCGTGTATGCGATGGCGTACATGGTAAGGTTTGGCAGGAGTGACAGTGTCCCATCCCCCACCGTAGAATGCGAGCTGTGGCCTCTCAACGGCCGTCCTGTGAGGCAGATGGTATTGTCTTTCTGATTCTACAGGAGAGAAAGCTGTGGCTGAGAACAGCTAAGGTTGTTGGTGGGGACATGGCCGAGGGGCAGCCAGCATAGTGGGGGAGCATGGAGCACCACCACCTTAGCAAGCTTGTTCATGAGAAGTCCCAGCCCTGGTATCCGCAAAGCACAATGAATGAATGAATGAATGAATGAATTGCAAGAGGAAGTGTCAGGGCGGGGTCCTCCTCATGTAGCCAGTGTCAGAGTGGCCCCTGCCTGCTCTTCTGCCTTTTCTTACTCTTTGTTCAAGTCCATCCCTCACCAGGTTGGCATGTCTGTGTCACCCACGATCTTGCCTGTACACAGCGAGACACTGTAGCACGTGGAGGAAAGGAAGCACCATGGTGGTCTCGAGATGTCTGGCTGGAGGTGATGGGGAGGCTGTGGGTACCAGGGAGTGTGCTGTCAACAGACATGAGGGCTTCAGCTGTGGTGTGCGGTTTCCTGCCACGAGTCAGACAATGGCTTTTCCTAGGGTGCAGAAAAGTAGGTAAATGAATGGAGTTCCCTGCATCTCCCAAGCCTGGCAGACACGTACCTGGGACCCTAACACTCGGGGACTGAGGCTGACCAGGCCTCCATAGTGAGGCAAAAACTCAGAAAGTAATAACACTAATAACAAAACAAAACAGGTCTCTCTGTTTTCTCCTCTCCCTCTCTCTCTCTGTGTATATATGTTTGCATATATACAAGTCCATCTGTGTTTGTATCTGTATGCATATGTATACATGTGGGCCAGAGATGTGACTTCCTCACAGGATCTCTCCCTAAGCCTGGAGCTCACTAACTTGGTTAGACTGGCAGACCAGCAAGCCACGTGATCCCTCTGTCTCCATCCTGCAAACCCCTAGCTCGGGGATTATAGGAATGCACTGTTGCACCCTGCTTTTTATGTGAGTGCTGGAGCTCAAACTCAGGTCTTGTGCTTGTACGGAAACACTTTACCAACTAAACTATTTCCCTATTTCCCTAGCACCTTTTTTTTTTTCAAATTGTGTGTGTGTGTGTGTGTGTGTGTGTGGGCGCGCTCACACAGGTAGGTAGGTCCATGCTATGATGCACAGATGAAGGTTGGAGAACATTTTTTTTTTTTTTTCAAGACAGGGTTCCTCTGTGGCTTTGGAGGCTGTCCTGGAACTAGCTCTGTAGACCAGGCTGGCCTCGAACTCACAGAGATCCGCCTGCCTCTGCCTCCCGAGTGCTGGGATTAAATGCGTGCGCCACCAACGCCCGGCTGAGAACATTTTATTTTTGAGATTTATTCATTATGTATACAGTGCTCTGCCTGCATGCACGCCTGCACCAGATCTCATTACAGGTGGTTGTGAGCCACCATGTGGTTGCTGGGAATTGAACTCAGAACCTCTGGAGGAGCAGCCAGTGCTCTTAACCTCTGAGCCATCTCCAGCCCCTTAAAAAGATTTGTAAGTTACGTGTACGTGCACATGAGTGCTGGTGCCCACAGAGGCATCAGAGCCCCTGGAGCTGGAGTTCCAGGCAGTGGTGAGCTGCCAGATGTGGGAATCAGGAACCGAATTCTGCAGGAGCAGTGCACATCTGCCCTTCCCTTTCCAGCACTCAAGGGGATAGGGAATGGCATTGGATTGTTCTGTCTTTCTCCTGTGCCCGCTCGGGCAAGGCAGCTGAGCTCACAGAACGGCATGTTGCGTTTCCCCGGCTTACCCTCAGCGGCCTTACGCTTGCCTCTGCAGTTTCTGTCGTTTGAGGAGCTGACTGAGCTACTCTACAGAGTCAACTTGTATGAGACTCACGAGTTCTCAGCGCACTTCGTATGTGGCGGCTTGTCTGCTGGCGCAGCCACCCTTGCTGTACACCCTGTGGATGTCCTGCGTACCCGCCTCGCAGCTCAGGGCGAGCCTAAGGTGAGCAGTCGGATGCCAGGCAAGGGTAGCCTGGGGGAGGCGGGAGTACAGCGGTTGGGACTCTTGTCCCTTCGGGAGGAGAAACTGGGGCCCCCTTCATTGCCAGCGCCACAGCCAGTCTGTAAGTAACCTGCACTCTGCAAGGCGCCCTTTCTCCCATAGACTTCCCGGGGACAAGGAGCCCACAGGGGCAAAGCAGGACAAGCATCCAGCAGTGGGCTGAACGAAGGCAGGCATCTGGGGACTTGGGACTCAGGAACTTCTGGCCACAATGTCCTGAGGTTTCCTCCAGGAATATGTTGAAGGAGATGGTGTGGGTGACTTGGTCTCTAAGAAGAACTTAATGAAAGCAACGGACCAAGTCTTGGTGACTCTCCTTCTTGCAGTGATAAAATACTCTGGCCAAAAGCAACTCAAGGGAGAAAGGGCTCACAGTTCAAGGATGCTGTCCATCATGGTGGAGAGTCCTGTTGATAGCAGCTAGAGGCAGCTGGTCACGTGGTATCCGTAGCCAGAAAGCAGAGAGTGATTGCTTGAAAGTGATGGCTCCCGTGCTCACATGGCTTCCTCCTTTTTTTTTTTTAAAGATTTATTTATTTATTACGAACACAACACCCTGCCCCCGTGTATGTCTACACATCAGAAGAGGGCACCAAGTCTCATTACAGATGGTTGTGAGCCACCATGTAGTTGCTGGGAATTGAACTCAGGACCTCTGGAAGAGCAGCCAGTGCTCTTAACCTCTGAGCCATCTCTCCAGCCCCAGCTTCCTCCTTTTAATACAGTCCAGGCCCAAGCGCATGGATGGTGCCACTCACGTTTAGTGTGAGTTTTCCCAACTCAGCTCACCTGAGGATCGTGCCTCGAGGGTACGCCCATGCATGGTTCCTAGGTGATGCTAGTCCCCATCACATTGGTGAACAGTATTAACCTTGCATCCGTTTAAGACCTGTTCCTTAATGTGTTGAGGGTTTACATCATTAGTGGCTGGAGAGCCGACTCAGGTTAAGAGCTCTTGCAGAGGATCCGGGTTTGGTTCCCAGCACCCGCATCTTTTCACTCCACAACCAGCTCACAACTTCAGTTCTGGGGAACCTGGCGCCCTCTTCTGGCCCCTAGGTACCAAGCATGCATGCGGTCCACATCCATACATGCTGACAGACCCTCATACACACATAAAATAAAGCTTTTTTAAGCAAGAGAAGAAAAATCCTGCTTTTTTTTTTTTTGAAAAAAAGTGGAGTGTCATTAATAGGTAGGCTTGAGGCCCAGGCCTGTAATCCTAGTTTAGGGGAGGTGAAGACAGGATTCATGAGAGTTCAAGAACAGCCTGGACTACGGAGTGAGATCCTGTCTCAAAACACAAACACACTAGCAATCCCAAAACACCACCACAAAAGGAAAAAGAGATAGCAGCGGCCACACACCCACATTGTAGAGTCCTAGTACACAGGCAAAAATGGGAAGGTTGGCTGAGCTCAGGGGTTTGCGGCCGCCTCAGCAATGTAGTGAGACTATGTCTCAAAATAAACAGAATACGAGCTGGCAGGGTGGCTTGGTGGGTAGACATTTGCCGCCAACTTAATGGCTTGAGTTTGGTCTCTGGGAGTCACGTATTAAGAGAACCAGCTCCTGAATTCTGTCCTCTGACCTCACAAGTACGCAAAGCACGCCCAGGTCCACACACAAGGAATAAACCAAGTGGGTGGAGAGATTGCTCAATGGTTAAGAGCACTTGGCCACTTCTCCAGGTGGCCCAGGTTCAATTCCCAGCGCTCCCAGGGATTTCAAAACCATCTGTAACTCCAGTCCCTGAGGATCCAAATCCGCTGTCTGCCCTCTGCTTGCTCTACATGTGAGACACGTACAAGCGTGCTTACAGGCAAAACACTTGTCTTAGCCAGGGGTTCTATTGCTGGAATGAAACACCATAACCAAAAGGCAGCTTGTGGGGGAGAGGGTTTATTTAGCTCACACTTCCTCATCACAGTTCATCATTGCAGGAAGTCAGGACAGGAGCTCAAGCAGGACAGGAACCTGGGGGGCGGGTGCTGATGCAGGGCCACGGAGAGTGTTGCTTATTGGCTTGATCTCCCTCAGCCAGCCCAGGGATGGCCCCACCCACAGTGGACTGGACCCTCCCAGTCAGTCATTGAGAAAATGCCTTACAGCTGGATCTCATGGAAGCATTTTCTTCACTGAGGTTCCCTCCTTTCAGAGAGCTCTAGTTTATGTGCCAAATAGATAAGGCTAGCCAGCACAATATCCATACACATAAAACTAAAAATGTAAACATTTATTTAGAAATATCAGTATGTGTGTGTCTCTATACAGCCACATTGGTTGGGACAGGACATTTGTGTAGGAATTGGTTTTGTTTAGGTTTTGGTTTTGCCTGGCTTTTGTGTTCCTCAGGGTGGAGACCCCGGTTGGAAAACCTTCTGATGATATTTTGGTTGCAAAGAGCAGAGTCCCAAGGGAAATTTGGAGGTTGGGCTGACTGCCGTGTTGGAGAAATGGGATGAGGGTTGAGTCGGTCTCAGGGTTGTCGTGGCTCCTGGACTAGAGGGAAGGTGGCTGATGACAGCCCGACTTTCCTGTGCCGCTCCTGTTACTTGCCAACTCTGCTAAGAGAAGGAAGAAGTTAATTTAGTGAGTGGGTCAGCTTTACCTCTGCTCACTGGGCTAGCCTGCTCTGGGCCCCCGCAGAGCTGAGAAGTGCAGAGTCACTTACACAGAAGTCCTCAGGCTGAAACTACACTGTTTGCCTCACCTCCCAAAAGTGGTAACTGCAGAATTCTCAAACAGGCCTGTTTGCTTGGCACGTACTGGGACCGCTTGCAGAGTAACCTGATGCTGTTCCCGGGCGCATTTCTATTGTTCCTCACCCCACTCCTTCCTTCCTGGAAGGAGCCCTGAAATGCATCGTCCACTCTTTGGGTTGGTGTTGTGCTTTCCTTGGGAGAGCTGGGCGGGGTCTTGCTGCTGCAAGTGGCATCCCCCTGAGGGCAGCTCAGTGGCCTCCAGAGTTCAGGTGGCTCCTTTGCAGGCCACAGAGTACCGCTGGGACTCTTCGGGCGCTTTTCAAGATTTATTTTATGTGTGTGGGTGTTTTGCCCTCTCTCGTACGTCTGTGGGCTGTGTGTTCAGTGCCCACATGCCCCGAAGAGGGCATGGCATCCTCTGGACCTGCTGCCATGTGGGTGCTGGGAACTGAACCTGGGTCCTCCGCAAGAAAGTGCTCCTGTTTGCTGACACAGGTCTCTAGATCCGGGATACATCCGTTTATATACTGAAGAAATAACTATCATGGAAATTTCTAGGAAGGACGTTTTCAGAAAGCCATACCCTTTTAATTAGTTTGTTTGCTTTGGAGGTGGGGTCTCCCTATGTTGTTCAAGCTGTTTTTTTTTTTTTTTTTTTTTTTTTAGATTCATTTGTTTTTAGGTATGGATGTTTTACCTACATTTATGCCTATGTGCTGTGTATATGCACTGTTCATGGAGGCCAGAAGAGGATGTTGGTACAGTTGTGAGCTGCTGTGCGCATCCTGGGAACTGACCCTGGGTCCTCTGGAAGAGCAGCCAGTGATCTTAACCACTGAGCCGTCTCTCCAGCCCGTGTCCTCAATCTTGATCCTCCTACCTTCATCTGCTAAGTGTTTAGACTGTGGTGCGAGCCACCACATCAAGCTGCCCTTTTGAATTTCTCTTTTGTTTTGAGATAGGGTCTCATTCAGCCCAGGCTGGTTCTTGAACAGGATGTGTAGTCCAGGCGGACTTTGAACTCCTGATCTTCCTGCCTCCGCCCATCAAACACCAGGGTTACAGCGCTAGCGTGTGCGCCACCACACCCAGCCCCCACTTACTTTTTTTTTTTATTTTTTATTTTTTTTATTTTTATTTTTGGTTTTTTTTTCGAGACAAGGTTTCTCTGTGGCTTTGGAGGCTGTCCTGGAACTCACTCTGTAGACCAGGCTGGCCTCGAACTCACAGAGATCCGCCTGCCTCTGCCTCCCGAGTGCTGGGATTAAAGGCGCTCGCCACCAACGCCCGGCTTTTTTTTTTTTTTTTTAAGATTTATTTATTTATCACATATACAATGTTCTGCCTACATCCCAGAAGAGGGCACCAGATTGAATTGTAGATGGTTGTGAGCCACCATATGGTTTCTGGGAATTGAACTCAGGACCCCTGGAAGAGCAGTCAGTGCTCTTAACCTCTGAGCCATCTCTCCAGCCAGCCCCCACTTACTTTTATCGCTAGTTTTCCTGGACTGAAGAGGAAAAGCTACACAGCTGGGATTTAGACGAGAAGAAAAACGATGTGTCTGGGCTGTTCTTGGGCTGAAACCGCCTCCCACAGCCCACTCACACTGCGCATGTGCAAATGCAGATCTATAACACCCTGCGAGACGCCATTTCGACCATGTACAGGACCGAGGGCCCCTTGGTCTTCTACAAAGGCTTGGCTCCCACGGTGATAGCCATCTTCCCCTACGCGGGCCTGCAGTTCTCCTGCTACCGGTCCTTGAAGCACGCCTACGACTGGGTCCTGCCTCCGGATGGAAAGCAGACAGGTGAGACGCCCACAGCCGCGCCTGCATCCCCACAGCCGCGCCTGCATCCCCACAGCCGAGCCTGCATCCCCACAGCCGCGCCTGCACCCCCACAGCCGAGCCTGCATCCCCACAGCCGCGCCTGCATCCCCACAGCCGCGCCTGCATCCCCACAGCCGCGCCTGCGTCACAGCTGTGCACCAAAGACCGTGGTTTGCCCGTCACTAGCTCCTGGCTCTGTGGTCAAGCCAGCAGAACAAGCAAGCCCTGCACTTTACATGGCGCATCCCCGTCCCCCGTCCCCCCCGGCTCCGCCACACTCACCCCTGCACTCGCGGGAGTAAGTGTATTGAGTAGTCCTTCCTGGCTTCCTTTTGTTTTTTTAAAGTCCAACCTGCAAATTATACTTATTTATTGTTTTTGTGGTTTTCGTTGTTGGGGGGCGATTGTCTCCACTCCCATTTTGGGACTCACAGTTTCGGTGCTTTTGGGTGAGAATGATTGCACAGAGGACCCTGAGGCCCGGCTGGCCAATGTGCCTGCTGTCATTCTTGCTTCGGTGGCTGTATTAAAATCTGCTTTTTTTTTTAGTTTGTTGTTTGTCTTTTGAGACAGGGTTTCTCTGTGTAACAGTCAGCCCTGACTGTCTAGAACTTGCTCTGTAGACCAGGCAGATCTACAGAGATCCACCTGCTTCTGCCTCCTGAGTGCTGAGATTAAAGGCGCACCACTACCACCTGGCTCTGATATTCTTATTTTATTATTATTATTTTTTGGTTTTTACAGGGTTTCTCTGTATTGTTTTGGAGGCTGTCCTGGAACTCGCTCTGTAGACCAGGCTGGCCTCGAACTCACAGAGATCCGCCTGTCTCTGCCTACCGAGTGCTGGGATTAAAGGCGTGCACCACCAACGCCTGGCTCTTATTTTATTTTTTTAAAGATTATTTTCAAAGTCTTCATTATTTTTGTATGTCAGTGTGCCATGTGTGTGGCTGACGCCCTTGGAGACGAGAAGTTGTCATTGGATCCCCTGGAACTGGAGTTCCCAGCAGTTAGTTGTGGGCCACCGTGTGGTGCTAGGAGGCCTGGAATTGTAATCCCAAGCGCCAAGTGATTGTGAGCTGCCTGATGTGGACGCTGGGAACAGAACTTGGCTTTTCTGGAAGAGCAGCAGGTGCTTTAAAACCCTGAGCACTGCAATCCCGTCACTGGCCTGTCTCTTACCCTGCCCCAGGGAACCTGAAAAACCTGCTCTGTGGCTGTGGCTCTGGAGTCATCAGCAAGACCCTCACGTATCCCCTGGACCTCTTCAAGAAGCGCCTGCAGGTGGGAGGGTTCGAGCATGCCCGGTCTGCCTTTGGCCAGGTAAGACTTCCTGTGCAGAGCTCAGGTCCTCGCAGTCACTGGACAGTGAGGGACCCAGCAGCGGTGACCCACTGTCCCCTCTTTTGTTTGTTTGTTTTTAGCAGACTTAACTTTTTTTTTCTTGCATAAAAACCCTTATGTGGGCTGGGTGGTAGTTGAGTTTGAGGCCAACTTGTTCTATAGATACAGAAAACCCCTGTCTTGAAAAATCGTAACAACAACAAAAAACCCTTACATGGTGGCCACAGCTGGAGCCTGGGTCCTCTGAACAGACTCTGGTGTGAGTTTTCACCAGATAGTCAGTCAGTCCCTGATAAGGAGACTTGGTGAACACAGTCTGTTTCCAGGGGCCAGGGGTCAGGTAGCTGTAGGTCTTGGAGATGATGGCATCAAAGGTGGCCTTGGCAAAGTTGCCCTGGGTGTCAGTGTGGCCATCGGCGGAAGCTTCTTGGACGTAGGAGCAGAGACGGTGCCAGCGCCTCTGGGGGCAGGGATGAGACACACCGACCGACACAGAGAGCCACAGCGGCCTGTCACCTTGCATGGAACAGTGTGGGGTTTGCCAGTCCTGTTCCCCCAATAGTCTCTCTGAACAGGGACAGTGGAAAAGCCTGGCCAAGATGATGGCCCCTCGGATGGCAGTGGCTACCTCCTTGGAGCACTTAACACAAGAGCAACATGACCATTGTAGTTTCCAATATCGACAAAAGCCTTGAACCTGGTCCTCCGGCCAGCCCGAGTCTGCTTCTACACTGGCATGATCTTTAAACCTCATCCTTTAGGGAGGCACCCAGGAAAAAGTCAGTAATCTCGGATTCCTCAATGGTCAGGGAGAACAGGTGGATCTCCTCCAGGACTTGATCTTCTTGTCCTTGACCAGGCGGCCCAGCGTGGTGATGAGTTTCCACTCCTCCACCAGCCCCATGTCCTCGGCCATGGCCACAGCCTTGACTCCACCCCCCCCCCATTGCCAAATCCTCTGAGGAAGCTGCGCTGACCTCCTAACCCCGCCCCCTCCCCTCTAAGCCCTCCTGCTGCATCAGCATCACCCACCGTTTGGTGTTTTCCCTAAAAAGAAGTTTTGTTTCTTTGCATAGACGCAGGTGCTTATTTTAGTAAAAATAAGGTTTTTTTCCTCTACCGGCATGTCCTGAAGAGACCACTTGAATTTAGATGGGAGAGGTGGTGAGAGCCCAGGACGAAGACTCTTCTAACGGAAACTAGTGTGCTTCTGGCTGGTTGGAGGAAGGGGCTTTTGCCGAGGACCAGCGGGAGCCAAACGCTGAAATGCCTTGAGCCACTAGACTTGGAATGCGGCTTGATGCCTTTGGTACCCTCATCATCAGATGCTCTTGGAGCTTTGAAGGGGAGCATAGCACAGTGAGGACTGTGTCTTGGGGACACAGGACAAGCTGACAGCAGTTTGTGGTGTCACCTGAAGGCAGGGAGGCCAGGCTGGAGGTGGGCACTGGCTGGGGAAGACCTAGTGATGGCCAGATTCTGCCCTGCTGCCCAAGGGGAACAGGTGTAACGAGGGGAAGACTCCAGGATGGCCCAGGGCTGTCACTGCGTCCACCAAAGCCACAGGCGGTCACCCCTCACCAGGAAGGGGCCCTTTCCAGCTCAGTTAACCCCAAGCTAGCCCACACGCAAGAATGAAGAATTTCACTCCCTCATTCACCCAGGGCACTTACTGGAAGCTGTGTTGTGCCACGTGAGTCCCCGTTTTTATCACTGTTCCTCTCACCAGCCTTCACCTTCCTCTCCCCAGGTGCGGAACTACGGGGGCCTCCTGGACCTCACCAAGCAGGTGCTACAAGATGAAGGCACCCTGGGCCTCTTCAAGGGCCTGTCCCCCAGCCTGCTGAAGGCTGCCCTCTCCACGGGCTTCATGTTCTTCTGGTACGAGCTCTTCTGTAACCTCTTCCACTGCATAAGGAGAGAAGACAGATAGCTGTGAGGGCAGGAGGGGCCTAAAGTCTGCACTGGAGGCGCCTCTCCCAACCAGACTTGTTCTGAGCTTGGACTGGATGGTGGCTGCTGCCTGGTTGGCCTTCTAGGCCGGCTGTCCTGGGCATGAAGAGTTATCCATGGCTGATGGCAGAAGGCCAAGGGCCTTTTCTGAAAAGAACAGAGAAGGGAGTGCTTGGGCTGTAGAAGCAAGGCCACCGAGGAGGAGCCTAGCATTGTTTGTCTGTCCAGCTAGGAGTCAGCTATCCTCTGCTTTGTAGTCCTGTTTTTGGGGGAGAACTCTCCCAGTCCTGGTAAGAGCAGGGCTTGGGTACAGAGGGGAAAGACTGGGCTCTTTGTAGAATTCTAACCCACAACTTGGCGTTTCTCCTACCAACTTATTTAACAGACATTAAAGCGAAAGGCACATTTACGTCACTCCTTCCGTCAGCCTTGCAGCTCCTCTCATGAGTCGCATCCCTGCCGAGGGAGGGTGATGGGAGGGGCCTTTCTGAGGCAGCCACATTCTTCTGATTAAGGGGGAACCCTACCACGAGGATGACCTCTGAACTCCCAGACCCAGACCCTTGTGGCCGTGAGGCTCGAGGGGTGGGCAGGAAGGACACTGGGACAGAACCAGGTTGTCGGTGGAAGGCCAGCAGTGGAGAGCTGTGCTGAGCGGCAGCGGTGGGCAAGTGCTGGCCTAACCCTCAGTCCTGTCAGTGGCTCCCCTCACTGGGCGCTGGGTTAGCTCGGTGGGGTGCAGCGCTCTCAGGCCAGGTGGCCTCATTAGCTCTGGGTGTCACTGTTCAGGTCAGCATGGATGCTGCACACACGTGTGTCCTCTGAACCCAGGAGGGCCTCAGCCACAAAGCAGTCCAGTGGGGAGGGCTGGCCAACAGCCTGGGGGGTATGGTTGGCACCCGTTGGCAGAACCAGGGACCTAGACACATGCATCCAGATGAAGAGGGAAAACTTGTCAGGGACACAAGAGAAGAAATACACCAGGACAGCCATCTTTTCCATGCTCCTGCCTGGCAGTAGTCTGGCAGAGGGAAGAGAGGAGAGATCTTTACTCTGTGGGATTCCCGCCCCTGTAATAACTTGGATTGTAATTTCTGCTGGGCATGACCCTATTCATGGAAGCTGGGACTTCTGCCCAGTGTGAGCCCCACCCTCCTCCTCTGTGGTCCCCTGTACCCCTCCCCTAGGGGCTGAACCTTCTCTGATCCAGGCTGCCCTTGGGAGAGCTTCTGAGGTGGCTGGGCTTCCTGGACTTAGAGCTGCAGACTCAAGAGCAAACATCTACTCCAGGGAAGGGGCAGATGGCAGACCAGTCTACTGTCTGTCTACGGGTTTCTATTGCTGCCCTCAAACACCGTGACCAAAAAGCCGACTGGGAGAAAAGGGTTTACCTGGCCCACACTTACACATCACAGTTCGACATGGAAGGAAGTCAGGACAGGAATTCAAGCAGGGCAGGAACCTGGAGGCAGGAGCTGATGCAGAGGGTATGGGGGGTGCTGCTTACTCAGCCTGCCCTTTTTGGGGGGGGTCTTTTTTCCAAGACAGGGTTTCTCTGTGGCTTTGGAGGCTGTCCTGGAACTCACTCTGTAGACCAGGCTGGCCTCGAACTCACAGAGATCTGCCTGCCTCTGCCTCCCGAGTGCTGGGATCAAAGGCATGCGCCACCAATGCCCGGCTCAGCCTGCTTTCTTATAGAACTCCCCCCAGGACCAGCAGCCCAGGGGTATCAGCACTCACAATGGACTGGACTCTTGCCCCATCAATCTCTAGTTTAGAAAATGCTCTCCAAGCTTGCCCACAAATCTGATCCTGTGGAAGCATTTTCTTAACTGAGGTTCCTGCTCACATGACTTCAGTTTGGTATAGAACCATTTAGTGCACAGGGTTGGAGAGATGACTCAGTGGTTAAGGGCACCGACTACTCTTTCAGAGAACCCAGGTTCAATTCTCAGTATGCACATGGCAGCTCACAACAGTCTGATCCTGCTCAAAGTGATTTGATACCCTCATATAGACATAAATACAGTCAAAACACCAATACACATAAAAATCATTAAAAAAAAAAAAAACACTACCAATGAGGTTGCAGCTATCGAAAGCTGGGAGCATGGAGCTCACTGAACAGTCTGCAGCCTGACAGACTGAGTCTGCCAGGCAGCTCAGCTGGTCGGTCCTCTTCCGACAGCTTGACCGATCTTGAGAGTGCTGGGCAGCCCACTCATCGCCGCTTCTTCCAGGTAGCTGTGCTGCTGGCCCGGGCCTTTTTCAGGCAGCTTGGCCTGAGTGTTGAATGCATCTCAGCGGTCCTCATTGCTGACCTGTCCTTGGTACGGAGGGGCTCCCAGAAGCCTTTGAGTTGTTCGCTCCCCTAGAATATTCGGTATCTTTTTTTTTCCTTTTCTGCTTTTCGAGGCAGAGTTTGTTTCTCCTCTTAGATGTCTCATCTTAAAACCTGGGAGGCTGTAGTCGGCTGCTGAGTCGTTCAGTTTGCTTTTTTTATGAAGTAAAGCCCATGCTCCTCATTTGCTACAGAGGAGAGTTCTCTTTCGTACCTGTTACCACGACTGCTTGTGGCAGCTCTTAGCTTTGGCTCCCGGTCGCCTGTGTGCCTGTGAGGTGGGGGAGGCCACAGCGATGTTCCCGACTCCACTCCAGGAAGGACCCAGGGCCCTTTCTCCCGGACTCTGCCCCTTTGATTTAAAACTTGTTTTGCCAGGGTGCGTCCCGGCCCTCACACGCCCTCCGCTTTAACCAGCCGAACCCCGGAGGACGCTGCCCAGCGACTGACTCGCCCCTCCTCCCGGGCAGGCCACGCCCTCCCGAGGCTCCTCCCACGCCGCACGGCCGGGGAGTCTGACCCAGTTCACCTGAGTCTTCCCCCCTGCAAGGGACATGGTGACCCTAGCGTGGGGTGCGACCCGGCAAGACCCAGGGCTTCATGCGGAACGGAGAGCGAGTCCGGCCGAGCGGTCAGAAACGAGGCTGGGGTGCGCCCGGTGAGGAGGGGACAGGGGACGGTGAGCGCTCCGCTCGGCGCGGCGGTGGCGACGTCGCAGACGTCGGGTGCGAATCCGTCTCTGCGCCAAGCGAGGGAGCGGCCCGGGGCGGCGGCGGGGTGCGCGGGCGAGGGCGAGCCGTGGCCGGTCGGCCGGCAGGCGGCGCAGGCGAGCAGCTCAGGCGCCTCCATGCGAGCTGCGCTCGGCTTCTGCGCGCGGGCCCACGCCGGGCGCGCGCTGCGCAGCCCCGGGGACGCGAGCGCCCTCCCACGCTGGCCAGTGCGAGCCCAACGGCTGCAGGGGTGGGTGTTGTAGCCTGAAAAGGACTGGCAAACGCGGGCGAGAAGGGCTGGTATCAGGATCCGCGGCTTGGACAACGCCGGCAAAGGAACTGAGCCAGAATTCTCCGTGCTGGATAATTTGGGCGAGTCTGACATTTACCACCCCCCTCCCCGACAACCCAGTTCAGTATATGCTCCCCCGAACTTACCCTGATACTGACTGGTGAATTCCCGCTTCATTCCTCGTAAGTAATCGCAGGAGCCTGGGTTTCCTTAGGCTGAGCTGCAGGTGCCTACTTGGTGCTCAAGCCCTTCACCAGAAGCCAAGTTTGGTGGGCTCTCAGCCAACCACTGACGGCGACGGAAAGTCCAGTTAGTCCTGTCCAAGGCCCTGGCTCGCCCCACCCAGTGCCTACTGGACTAGAACACGGAGCTCTGAGAGTCTCACGCGAAGCCTCTTCGGTCTTTGCTCCTCAGGTGCCGACATTAGTTTCAGGCCAGTGGAAAACTGCTGGGACTAGACCGTCATGGGGGAGGCCAGTAGAGATGAGTATAGAATCCAGTCGTTTGATGCAGAGACCCAGCAGCTGCTCAAGACCGCGCTCAAAGGTGAGCCTACCAGCCCTTCTATTGGGGCAAGAGCTCCGAGGGGCTGGCTGAGTCCCAGAGGCAGGCAATGCCCAGCCTCCCTGTGTCTCCCCGAGAGTAAGTCACAACCTAACTCTTGGACTGGGAGACGAGCTCCATCCAGGCCATTATTTTTGAGAATGAATCACAGCCCTGTTTGAGGTCATATAAAGCCTTCAAATGCCCACGAGAGAGGGAACAAGGTCGTCCCTTTAAAGCCTTTGCATTCGGTGCAGTCAGGCAGCTCCGTTGAATGTCCAGAGCTGCCTGACTGGGGACAGAGGTTGGGGAATCAGCTTGCTGGAAGAGATATGTCATTGTCTGGCCCCGTGTCCTTCCAGTGTGACACTCAGGACAGAAGTCTGATTTAACAGTTAGCAGTGGCCACCCTGTGCCAAGCTGACAGTGTCTGCAGGGCTCATGCCTGCAGCTTCTGTGTTCTGAGCACACTTGGAGCCATGGGGTGGTGCACAGCTATGACCCAAGCAGATTACAGAGGCAGGAGGATTAGCTGCTCCACTTTGAGAGTGCCTGGGGGAGGGGAACCGGCCAGCAGTTTAGATCACTGGTTGCAAGCCAGGCATGGTGGGCTCCTTTAATCCCAGCACTGTGGAGGCAGAGGCAGGTGGATCTCTGTGAGTTCCAGACTGGTGTGGTCAGCTCCATCGTGAATTCCAAGATAGCCAGGGCTACATAGACTCAGTCTCTCTCTCTCTCTCTCTCTCTCTCTCTCTCTCTCTCTCTCTCTCTCTCTCTCATACACACACACACAAAAGCCACACACACACACACACACACACACACACACACACACACACACACGGGCATACACACACACACACACACACACGGGCACACACACCATAAAGAGCACTTGCTGAGGACCGGGAGTGGCTCACAGTCATTGGTAACTGGAGTTCCTGGGACCCAGGCAAACACATGGCATGTAAACATGCATGCAGACAAAATATTCATACATATAAAACGAATGAACATAAAAAATTGCATAGTGAGCTACAGGCCAGCCAGCGCTATTAAATAGCAAAATTAGACTGTCTCAGAAGACAAAAAAAAATTGTAGAAGTCTTAGCATTCTTCAGCCTGCTGCCAAGAAAATAAAACATATATCCCAAGAAACTGCGTTTGTACTTTGGTGGCTCCCAGCCTCATAATCCTATACTTATTTATTGACTAGGCACAGGATCTCTCAGTGTAGCCCCGGCTGGCCTACAATACAGCTCACTATGTAGACCAGGCTGGCCCCAAACTCAGGTCGGCATGCCTCTGCCTCCTGAGTCAGAGGCAGGCAGATCTCTGAGTTCGAGACCAGCCTGATCTACAGAGTGAGTTCCAGGACAGCCAGGACTGTTTCACAGAGAAAACCTGTCTGGAAACAAAACAAAACAAAATTTAGCTTATTTATGTGTGTACCTACTTGTGTGGATGTTCACGGCCCATGAACATGCAGCACCTGTGGAGGCAAAAGGGGGGGTGAGAGAGTCTCTGGAACTAGAGTTACAGGCACTGTGAACAGCCCAGTGTAGGAGCTGGGTACTGAACCTGGGTCTTCTTCAAAGGCAAGTGCTCTTTTTTTTTTTTTTTTTTTTTTTTTGGTTTTTCGAGATAGGGTTTCTCTGTGGCTTTGGAGGCTGTCCTGGAACTCGCTTGGTAGTCCAGGCTGGTCTCGAACTCACAGAGATCCGCCTGCCTCTGCCTCCTGAGTGCTGGGATTAAAGGCGTGCGCCACCAACGCCTGGCAAGGCAAATGCTCTTAAAGGCACCCTTCAGCTTCCCTATTTCCTGATTGGACAGCCACGTCCTGACGGTGAGAGCTCGTGTAGGCATGGTCACAAGCACCTGCCTGGAGACTACATATTTATTGGTTTGGCTGCGGTGTGTCCAGCCTTTGGTTCCACACATTGTAGTCAGGCATAGTGCTTGGTCCCTAGTTATACCCTTTACACCTCCAACTCTGACTTTTGTTTTCTAGACAGGGATCTCACTATGTAGCTCTGACTGACCTGGAACTTGCTATGTAGACCAGGCTGGCCTGTCTCTGCCTAGGATTATAGGTGTGTACCACTCAACCCAGCTTTCTTTTTTTTTTTTTTGAGACAGGATCTCATGTAGTCCAGGCTGTCCTAGAACTCTGCATGTAGCCAAGGATAGCCCTCTTGACCCTCCTTGTTTCTATCTCCCGTGCCATCTTGCTGGTTTCCCTTCATCTTTTAAGCATGTGATAGGATGTTCTATAAACATCTCAGGTCCTTGGGTGTCGTGGTACACGACTTTAATCTGGTACCCAGAGGCCGGCAAATGTCTGTGGGTTTGAGGCCTGATCTACATAGAGTGTTCTAGGCCATCCACGGCTACCTGGTGAGAGCCTCTCTCACAGAAAAACAAACCCCTCTAGTCCTTAGCAGATGGAGGCAAAGAGGATTAAGCAGGCATCTCTAGACTGCGCTCCTGTCTCTACCCCAGATCCAGGTGCCGTGGACTTGGAGAAAGTGGCCAATGTGATTGTGGACCATTCCCTGCAGGACTGTGTGTTCAGCAAGGAGGCGGGACGGATGTGCTACGCCATCATCCAGGTTGAGGGGGCTGGCAGAGAGGCGCCGCCTTGAGTATGGCACCCCAGGACCAGGCACAGGCTGGCCAGCAGAAGACACAGGAGTTTACTATAGCCAGAGGCTAGGGTGGGCGGAGTGGCCAGCGCCCTGCTTACCACCGTCTCCTGGCTCACAGGCAGAGAGTAAGCAAGCAGGCCAGAGTGTCTTCCGCCGCGGGCTCCTCAACCGGCTGCAGCAGGAGTATCAGGCCCGGGAGCAGCTGCGAGCCCGCTCCCTACAGAGCTGGGTCTGCTATGTCACCTTTATCTGCAACATCTTTGACTACCTGCGGGTGAGGCAGGGGCGGTCACCCTGTGCAGCAGTGACGGCCTGTTCCCAAGGCCGGACTGTTCCTCATGGTCACTAATGCTGTCCCCTGCACCTCTTGCTCTCCTGACAGGTGAACAATATGCCCATGATGGCCCTGGTTAACCCTGTCTATGACTGTCTCTTCCAGCTGGCCCAGCCTGAGAGTCTGAGCAGGGAAGAGGAGGTGAGTGGCCGTTGCCCAAAAGGCTGTGGAGGGCATGCTGGCTCGGGGTCCCAGTGCCGTCCGTGGAGGCTGCTGCTCCTCAGCAAGTGCCTAGTAGGGGCATGTAAGGCCTGTACCAATTACAAGACAAACCACAGTGTCTGGAATTTATCCAGAAGGCACAGCAGCCAAGGCTCCAGGCTCGCCAGTCGGGGAGCCAACCTCTGCCAGGAGTGGCGAGGGTTGTGGCACAGCTGGCCCAGGAACCAACTAGAGTCAGGCAGTGAAGGCCAAAGCAAGGCCCGGTGAGATGTTCCGGCACGTCTTTGTGGTGAATGTGGGCAGTACCCCCTGGATCAGAAGGGAGGAGCCATCAGAGGGCAAAGCACGGTACTTAGCAGTCCTCTCTGGCTGACCCGGCCTTCCCTCTGCCCCCGCAGGTGGACTGCCTGGTGCTGGAGCTGCACCGGGTTGGGGAGCAGCTGGAGAAGATGAACGGGCAGCGCATGGATGAGCTCTTTGTCCTGATCCGGGATGGCTTCCTGCTCCCATTAGGCCTTAGCTCCCTGGGCCGGCTGCTGCTGCTGGAGATGATCGAGTTCCGGGCAGCTGGCTGGAAGACGACGCCTGCTGCCCATAAGTATTACTATAGTGAGGTTTCCGACTGAGCTAGGCTGTGCTTGTGGCTGCACACACCTTCCTGTGTGCACCAGAATCCTGGCCTCTCTAGACCCTTCCAGACTTCACTGCTGTGGTTCCCTCCCCTCGCTCTGAATTGTGGAGAAATCCCCCTTCCTCCAAGTCCTCTCAGCTTCCCTTTCCCACCACTCCCACCCGGGCCAGGCAGGGAAAGGCAACTAACAACCACTGAACTGTGTAACCACTGGTGCAACACTACCTTAGTGCCTCAGTTTCCCCAACTGTAAAATGGGCCATCATAGCCATTGGTGGGATGCTTTGGGATGTTAAGGGCAGAGTACAAATTACAAGGGAAACAGTTTTATACGTTTTGTACAGAGACTACTGTGGAGATAGCCTGCATCCTTCTGCTACCTTCCATGAGTGACAACACCTCACCAGGTTGGGGTGAAGGTTTTCTAATAAATCTTTTCTGAAACCAAACTGTTTCATTTTGTAACAGCCAATGGGGTACCCAAGCTGCTGGGACCTGAGTTTCTCGGAAGAAATCTCTAAGGAGACATGTTCTGCCTTAATGAAGCAATGCGACAGGAGAACCAGCTTGGATTACTGAGCAACACATGTCCCTTCGGAAAAACGCGCCCCTTCCTGTGGAGGGGCCGCCTGACTCTAGTTGTACCCATCCAATATGGGAATTAAGAAAGGGGGCCGGGCGTTGGTGGCGCACGCCTTTAATCCCAGCACTCGGGAGGCAGAGGCAGGCGGATCACTGTGAGTTCGAGGCCAGCCTGTCTACAGAGCTGATTCCAGGACCGGCTACAAAACAATACAGAGAAATCCTGTCTCGAAAAACCAAGAAGGGTTTCATGGGATCTAAGACTGTGTTACAACAGGCTCTCTCCATCCTTAGGTTGCTTCCAGAACTTTCCATCAGGGCAGTAGCTCAAGTCGTTTCTTTATAAAATCACTTTATTAGTATATGTGTAGATGTTTCCCTGCATGTACGTCTGAGTGCTAGGCATGCCTGGTGCCCACAGCAGTCAGAAGGTGTCAAATTATCTGAGACCAGAGTTACAGAAGGTAGTGAGCCTCCGTGTGGGTGCTGGGAATCGAGCCAGGAAGAGCAGCCAGTGCTCTTAACCTGTGAGCCGTCTCTCAGCCCCTCTGGTTTCTTGTGGGAGTCCTGGACTTTTCCGTCTGTGCCTGCTACCACCAGCGGTAGTGGGCCAGCGCGCGGTTGGCCTCCGCCATCTTGTGCATGTTGTGCTTCCTCTTGATGACGGGGCCCCTGTTATGAAAAGCCTCCAGCAGCTCATTGGACAGTTTCTCGGGCATCAGCGTCCGCCGGGGCTTATTCTCTCGGCACTCTGTGATCATCCACTTCATAGCCAGGAAGCGGCGCCGTCGGTCCGAGAGAGGTACAGGGACCTGGATGAGGAAAGGGACAAGGGGGCTGGGCCAGCAGTGTGAGGGCCATCGGCTCCTACAAGTCCCATGTCCTGTCTCTAGAGCAGTCCTGGGATGGGCCCTGAGGACAGAACCTGTCTTCTCAGACATCCCCTTATCTCAGGGGACATTGAGTAAGAAACATCACTTAGTAAACTCATTAAGCACTTTCCTTCCTAAAGAGAGGCTTGGCCAAGTTGACACAAGCACGAAGCACTACCACAGACCAAGGGTGCCTAAAAATACGACCATCTACACGAGAATCATTTTCCTGGCTCCCACTGCATGCCGAGCACTATACCACACACTAAAGATACTGAGTTAGGAAACAACCTAACGGGACAATGTGATTAAATGCTGCCACAGGGATGGCTACTTCAGTTCAATCACGACAAATGGTCATGGGGCAAGTTACAAACGCAGTCCTCTACCCCGAGCGCATAGCTTAGGCGACACAATACGGAAAAGGGAAGGAGCGTGGGCTCCCAACAATGCTGCCGAGTCAGTCTGTTCTCTGCCTTCGCACCTTCTGCCTGGGGTTTTCGCCTTCTGGGCCTCAGATGAGCAGACCCGACAGTGCCCAGCCTCCAGGGGTTATTACACATGCAGTTTCTCAAGTGGGCTGCCCTGCTTTCTTGCCCTCTCACCTGGTAGAAATGGCCCCCTTTGAGGATGGGCACCAACCCGATCACAGGCTCACAGTTTTTCAGGGCCTGGTGGAAGACCCTGTAGGGGTTGCGTTCAATGGTGGCCTGCTCCTCCGCAGTGGCTACTCGGTACTTCTCAAACTGCTTCCTCTTCACGGCTTCCAGGGTCTGCAGAGAGCGCGAAGAGGCTGCTCAGCCACCTCATCTGCACGCCAGTGACTGCACTCGGGAGGTGGAGGCAGGAGGATCTCTGTGAGCTCGAGACCAGCCTGGTCTACAAGAGCGGGTTCCAGGACAGCCCCCAAAACAACACAGAGAAACCCTGTCTCGAAAAAACTAACCAAACAACGACAAAAAAAAAAAGTAAAGAGTTCAAGGTTATCCTCGTGTGTAGCAAGATCCAGGCTGTGCTCCATGAGACCCTCGAGTTTAAGGTCCTACTGCTTTGATAAGACTGACCCAAAGAACAGGTGAGAACCCTGCCCCCTTCCCCCACCCCTGGCCAGGGTTTCCCTGTGTAGCCCTGGCTGTCCACCTTGCCTTGTCTGACTCTTGAGTGCTGGAATCAAACGCCTCTCCAGTGATGGGATTTCAGGTGGGCGCCACCACTCCCAGCTCTCAGAAATACATTTTAGGGACAGGTCTAGTTCTGAAGCTAAGGGTGGGGAAAAAGGCCAGACACAGTGCACAGGACAGGCAGAGGGGAAAAAGAGAGCAGCCAAGAGGAAGAAACGGGTTTACCTGCGCCATGAGGGATCTGGCCAGCGTCTTGTTGCCTCCTTTCATCATCATGTTGGTAAATTTGCTTCAAGGAGAAAAGCATGCTTAGTTTCCCTTCAGCAGAGACCTTCCCCGGGCTAATCCCAGCCCGCGGAAGAAGAGCGTGGCCACCTCACCTGATGGCAGGGTCTGCAAACACCGAGCTTGTTTCCGTCGCTGCCGCGGCTTTGATGAGCTGCGTTTTCTTGAGCTCCTGGTCATACTTCTCGTCTTCGGTGAGTTCCGCCACGGGCTTGCGGTAATATTCCTTGTCAGTCAGGGGGTCCCTGAATTCGGGGGCATAGCGGCTACCCCTCACCTGTGTTATCCTGGGAGTGGGAAGAGGAGGAAGGAGGCACGAACTCCACAAATGCATCTGTGACCCCACAAACCAACAAGCTTGACTTAATAATCAGCCTGTCTGCCTTCACGCTGACGAGGAGCAGCAACGCTGGGGCCGCCAGCTAAACCTCAACAGCGCTGGTTTTGCCTCTGGTCCCAAGAGGTAGGAAGCCCGCCCGCCCGCCAGCCCCGAAACGTCGTCGGCCCCGGCAAACAGCACTCGGGGGCAGCTCTCCCCACCCGCCTAGGCAATTCCAGTTCCGAGATCTCGGGGCAGGGCCACACTTTCGACTCGGGGCAGAACCGGTCTAGATCAACCCGACCTGCCAGGCGAGGGGGCAAGCCGCCAAACCCTCAACCTGGCCCGTTTAGTAGCTTGACCGAGCCATCCGCGTCCCCCGAGCAGCGCTCTGTCGCCCCAGGACTCAGCGCGGCTCGTCCCGGGCTCCTTTCCTGTCCCCGGGGCCTCCCGTCACAGCCCGAGCGGCGGTGCCAGCTACCCGAGGCCTTCTCACCCTGGAAGGTGGCAGACAGCAAGCCTCACCCCCAGACCCAGCCCCGACCACCGTCGAGCAGCCTGCAGCGCGGGCGCAGCCATCTTGGCTCGCTGCGAGGACCCCAGAGGACTGCCCGCGGCGCGCCTGAGGGAGTGACGGACTACGGGGGTGGGGTAGGGGAGGACAAGAAACCGCACAGTTTACTCGAGTCTGGGTTTTTACGTCAGGGCTCCCCTGCGAGGAAGAAGCAACAAAACACGCCCTTCCTCCTCCCGGCATCCGACACAGTCTGGCGCGCCTGCCGGCGGCAGCTCTCCGCTCTCTCAGGCCCCCATGCAGGCCCCGCCCCGGAGCGGCTCGCGCAGAATCTCGCGAGGTTTGAGGCCGCAGGACCGGACCGGGCTGCTGCAATATGGCGGAGGCGGAAGGGGAGAGCCTGGAGTCCTGGCTGAGTGAGTACCCGGGGCCGATTGCGCCTGACCTCCGGCCGTGGGCCGCCCTCCTCCCTCACCCCGACCTCCCCTCCGCGGCCTCGCCGCGAGCATCCCGCGCTCACACCCCTCGGCGAGCAGGGAGGTCCCTTCCCCGCGGCGGCAGCGGCGGCGCGCGCGACGCCTGCAGCTCGAGGTTTAGCAGGCCCGGGGAAAGCGACAGCCCGCTTCTCCGGGCTGTCAGGCACAGGCGCGTTGGGGAGGTCGAGGGAAGTGGCACCCCAAAGCCCCCAAGAACGAGAAGAGCTCCGCGTTTGGGCTGGTCCCCCGGGAACGGTGACCCTGAACTCCGTATCCCCGCTTCCCTCGGGTGGGGTGCCTGAAGCGAGAATTCTTTCCCAAAGAGCGACTACAGGGAACAGAGTAACTACATGGCTTGCAAAGTATGCATTGAAGGGACGGACACTTTCTGTCTGTCTGTCTGTCTGTCTCTCGCAGTGTGAAGCTGCTGTTGTATCGATGTGTTGCTGCCATTACCAGTTGACGTTGCTGTGAAGAAAGAAAGGTTTAACGTTAGCAGGCAGTTGCTGTGTTTAGTGAGGGTTAACAATGAGGCTGGTTAATGACGCCTTACCAGGGGTTAATAAACTAGCTTTACTAAGGGCCAGCCCCGGGGAGCCTCTTTAATGGAGACAGAAAGTAGGGTGCCGCCATCTAGCCTTGTGCCAAGATCTTTCACTGAGGACAAGCTCCGGCCTTTTGGGTGTGAAGACTGTTGCCTCCCCGTCGCCTTAAGAGATACCTCCAGGAGATTGAGATTAGGCTTGAAGGGGCGCACATCCCCAAGGAGAAGAAAAGTAAGGTTGCATTTGCAAAGTTCGGTGTTGCAGGCAGGCCACGGGACAGTTGTCCCTATATATGGAACAGTTCTCCAAGGAGTGCAGAGTGCTGGACTGCAGACATTGGTTAAAGTCACTTACCCAGCGTACAGCCATTCTGGGTGAAGAGGTAGGCCTGCCTGGCCAACAAGTGAGTTCAACACTAAATGAGGCAGATAGTGACCCTGTCAACAAAAGTGAAAACACTTGGCTTAAGAGGATTCATTGTAGGGCTGGAGAGATGGCTCAGAGGTTAAGAGCACTGTTTGCTCTTCCAGAGGTCCTGAGTTCAATTCCCAGCAACCATATGGTGGCTCAGAACCATCTGTAATGAGACCTGGTGCCCTCTCCTGGCGTGCAGACATACATGGAGGCAGGATGTTGTATTCATAATAAATGAATAAAATCTTTTTTTTTTTTTTTGTTTTTTTCGAGACAGGATTTCTCTGTGGCTTTGGAGGCTGTCCTAGAACTAGCTCTTGTAGACCAGGCTGGCCTCGAACTCACAGAGATCCGCCTGCCTCTGCCTCCCGAGTGCTGGGATTAAAGGCGTGCGCCACCAACGCCAGGCCAATGAATAAAATCTTAAAAAAAAAAAAAAAAAAAGAGGATTCATTGTAGAGCGCAACCGGCTGTCCTGGAGTCCTCTGTGTAGACCTGGCCGGCCTCCCGAGTGCTAGGAGTAAAGGTGTGCACCACCACCTCCTGGCTCTCCAATCCCAGTCTGGAAAGAAGAAAATAAATAAAAACATTGACCAAGTACCCCAGTTAGAAAAACAGGCTCTTGTTACCACAATTCAGGGAAGATATTCTGACTCGGCTCAGACCATTTCCCTAAAACCATGCCGCTGATAAGCCGAGTGGAATTCCTGAGCTGGGAGGGCGGGATGGGCAAAGTGGGGCAATTTAAGTGATTTAAGCTGAGCTCAGTAGGGTTGGTGTTTTGTTTTGTTTTTATGAGACAGGATTTCCGGAAGCCCAGTATGGCTTCAAACCCGGGTCTTCCTGCTCCCCCTCCCAGCTGCTGGGATTTCGGATGTGCACCTTCTCGGTTCTCGTGACCGAATCCAGTGAACCGGGCAATACCGCCCTTGTCACCCGTGGCTTGCCTGAGTTACTGCAGCAGCCTCTCCTTGGTCCACTCAGCATGCATCCCTCAGGAGAGCAGCTATAGTTTACCACCCTCACAGGCCTGCCACCCCCAGCTTGTCTCTGGCCATTCCCTGCCTTTCCCTGGGGCCTTCTGACACTTTCGCCCACCAGCACGAGTCATTCTCACTAACCCCAAAGCCCTGCTCCCTTCAGCTCAGTTCAGCGCCTCAAACCCAGTCTTCCTCACAAACCATGTCTTGATGACTTCAACTGTCTCTCAGGTCCTGCTTGGCACATGCAGCTAGTGTTTAGCATGCCTCTGCCACGTGGAGTATCCTAGCACCTGTGAGGCAGAGGCAGATCTCTGAATCTGAGGCCAGCCTAGTCTACAGACCAAGTTCCAGGACAGCCAGAGCTACATAGTGAGACCCTGTCTGGGGGGTTGGGGGTATTTTATTTATTTTTTAAAGTATGGAACACTGCACAAATTTGCATGTCATCCTTGTGCAGTGGCCATGCTAATGTTTTCCGAAGCATTCCAGTTTTAGTTTATGTGCTGCTGAAGTGAGCACAATAATTAATGACGTTTAAACGGTGCTCTGTGACACTGGGTTCTCTGCCAACCTTACAGAGACAGAACTAAAGCAAAAAGCCCAGGAAACTCAAGTAGTCTTTGCCCTCAGCTCTGGGGGTGTGGTGGCAGAATGGTTAGAGATGAAGTGGCAGAGACTCGGGTGGAAATGTAATAAAATGCAGTTTCTTTAGGTAGTCAGGGGAGGGGAGGGGGGAGTGACCTAAGACAGAGCATGAGGAGACATCATCAAAGCTAGGCCTCAAAGATTAGGAACATCCCGAACAGTGTGTGGCGGTGTGTGGACACAGAGTAGCAGGGTTAGGGTTAGACAGCTATAGGAGTATAGGGGAAGTTAAACTGGGAAGTTAGGGCCAAATTCTGAGACACTGGACATTGCTGCCTGAGGTGTTTAAAGTATTGACAGTTAGCAGGCTCCCATTCCTGTCAGGAGGATTGATGGCAGGCTTTACTTAGAATGACGGGAACAAGCCCAGTGTGGTGGTGGCTCACGTCTGTTTCCCCAGCACTTGGAGGTTGAGGCAGGAGGCTCCCCCCAAATTCGAGACTAGTTGGATACATAGAGAATTAGTACCATTAAGGGTTACAGAGGGAGACTCTGTTTCCAAAAAGAAAACAGCATTGGTAGGATGGTTCAATGAGTAAGGATGCTTGCTGTGCAAGCCTGGCTACACTCGGGTTCAACCAGTAGAACCCTATGAATGTGGAGGGGAGAGAACCAACTCTAGAGTTGTCCCCTGACCTCCCCATGTGAGCTGCGGCACCGGCTATGTGCTCCAACCCAGATGTCGTGTGTGACACAGAATGTGAGGGAAACGGGCTGGAAAAGAAGCTCTGGGAGGAGCAAGAAGTTGGGGTGTGGAAGAGAAGAGAGATTTACAAAGACATGGGTCAGGTAAGAGCACGTGCCACCAAGCCTTAGACCTGAGTCTGATCCCAGGAAGCCACGTGGTGGAAACTTGTGACATACCATATACCTCCCTCCTACTCCCTTCCCACATAGACAATATATAAATAATGTAACAAAAATTTTCACAAAAAGCAACTCCATCAAGACCGTGCTGGAGAAACCAACAAAACCAGCGGACCTGACCTAGTGAGAGCACACGGACCCCAGTCGTAAAGCTGGGGAACCAGCATTGGACTAAACCAAGCCCTCTGAATGTGGATGCTAGCTAGGAGGCCTTGGCCGTCTATGGGACCTCTAACAGTGGAGCCAGTGTTTATCCCTAGAGTACAAATGGACTTTGGAGAGATACTCTCCCTATGGAGAGATACTATTTCAGCTCAGATACACGGAGGAGGACCTAGGCCCTCCCCCAAATGATGTGACAGACTTTGATGATCCCCCATGGAAGGCCTCACTGTCTTTAGGGAGCGGGTGTGGGTGGGTTGATAGGGGGCAAGGGAGGATGGGAGGGAGAGGGAATGGGGATTGTTATGTAAATGATTGTTTCTAAATTAAAAAAAAATCAAGAAAAAAAACAAAAGCAACTCCAACATTGCCAGGAGTGGGTAAGGAAAGGGCAGGAGCCAACAGTAGGGTTGCAGACCTAGGTGCTTTTGAGCAATGGCACTGTATATAGAAACAGGAAGTCAGTAAGGAGAAGTGATGGGTTCTCAGGCTTATTTGTGCATCAAAGTAGCACAGTTACAGAGTTGGTTATGTGCCGGTTTCTTCCTCATGCTCACGCCGAAGCACAACTTCCTCACGGGCCTGCCTGTGTTCTGTACTCCTCCAGTGTCTTATTTTTGAGCGTCTCAGACAACTGCGATGGTTGTAGCACTTGGTTTTCCATGGGTGCCTGAGACACAGGGCAACTGTGCCCATTTCTCCTTTGGTTCGAGATGCAGCAGCGCAGGCTGACCTGACCCTTCCTTTGCTCTTGGGTCTGCTTATTTAGTCAAGGCTGCTTGTTTTCATCTTGCCATCTGACAACCTGTAGGAGAGCAGGAAATCTGGAGGAATGGAAGGAGCAGAGATTGACACCCAAAATAGACCGTGAATCAGAGGAGGGTTCCTGGCCAGGTTTGCAGGGGAGAACGCCATTGGTGCCTCTGCTAGGTGAGGGAGTGGGGTGGGCGCAAGGGGTGGGCACTAGGAGAGCTGGAGTCACCTAGTACCACCCTCAGCAGTGTTTCTACTTGCTGTGAGCGACAGGTGTGCCTACTGAGCTGCCAGCGCTGGGCAGTGGCACTGTGTCTGCTCAGCGTTCTGTGCCGTGTGCAGGCCGTGTTCCTCCACTCTGTGAAAAGGAGGCAGCAGTGCTGTTGGACGCTGAACAAGCTTGGGAAGAGAGTTTCATTTATAGACTATTGTTTTGTGGGGAGCGTCCCTATGTTACTGTTTGGAAGATGGTTTTCCCATTTTCCACGGTTTTGTGTCTCTTACAGAAGCATTGGGCATGGGTCTGGCTTCTCGGTGTCTTATTTTGAGTCCTGTAGCTTCTTGGTTTCATCTGCAGACTTGAAGCATCCCAAATGATAGGGATTAGTGTAGCAAAGCCACACTGATACCTGAGAAGAGTCACCCTGGACCAGGAGACCTTGGTGATAACTAGTGTGTCTGGTGATTGGTGTAGGATGACCAACCATTTGTTTTAATTTATTTATTTTTATGTGCATCGGTGTTTTGCCTGCATATTTGTCTGAGTCACGGTGTCAGATCTTGGAGTTACAGACAGTTGTGAGCTGCCATGTAGGTACTGGGAATTGAACTTGGGTCCTCTGGAAGAGCAACTAGTGCTCTTAACCACTGAGTCATCACTCCAGCCCCTGCCAACCATTTCTTATCAAATGTACACTGCTGAATAAAATAACCCCTGTTTGTGCTTGCCATTTGGAAGGTCTTGCCAATTATCTTTCACGTTTGAGACCAGCCACCTTGGTGGCACATATCTGTAATCCCAGCACTTGGAAGCAGAGGCAGGGACATCAGGAGTTAAGATCATTCTTGACTACATAGGGAGCTGGAGCCTAGCTTGGGCTATATGAGATCCTGTTTCAAAACAAATAAAAGTCCCAGCCATGTGTTTTTTTCCCCTCTGTATGTTCCTAGGGCCTCTGTATGCTAGGCAGGCCCTCTACCACTTAGTTGCTCTTAACTCTGTTTACTTCTGGTTTTTCGAGACAGGGTTTCTCTGTGGCTTTGGAGGCTATCCTGGAACTAGCTCTTGTAGACCAGGCTGGCCTCGAACTCACAGAGATCCGCCTGCCTCTGCCTCCCGAGTGCTGAGATTAAAGGCGTGCACCACCAACGCCCGGCAACTCTGTTTACTTCTAACTTTGAGATAAGCCTACTTGGAATTCTTCTTCACCTTCCCATGTCCAGTGATGAGATTGCAGGCTGCTTTAGTGACTTTTCTATTGCACTGGCTAAGACAGCATGACCAAGGCAACTTGTAGAAGACAATGTTTAGCTTGAGACTTCCAGTTTCAGAGGGTGAATCTATGACCATCATGGTGGGAGCATGGCCGTGGGCGGGATGCTGGAGCAGTGGCTGGAGTTTGTATCTTGAAATAAACTATGAGGCAGAGAGAGCTGAGGAATGGTGTATGCTTTTCAAACCTCAAAGCCTGCCCACAGTAACACACCTCCAAGAAGGCTGCCACACAGGCCTATGCCAAAAGGCCTCACTTTGTAAGTACAAACTTTATCCAGGAGACTCTTCCTCCCGAAGCCAGACCAGAACTGCTGTCAGGCAGCTCCAGCCCATCTAGGAAGACCTCTGCTTGGATGCCCCGTTGTTGGTGGAAGGATAGGTTCTTAGGATTCAGTCCCCCACCTTACGGTGATTTGTGGGTGGGGGACTACAGAATCTTGTTGTACCCCAAGTGAGCACATGTGCTTGCACGCGCGCACACACACACACAGAGCTTGGTGTGGTGTTGCATGCCTACAATTTTAGTATTTGAGATGTCAAGATAGGAGGCTCATTGTGAATTCAAGACCAGCCTGGGCTACAGAGTAAGAATCTTAAAAGGGGGTGGTGGTGGTTCACTCAGTAAAGGTGCTTGCTGCTAAGTCTGAGTTTGATTTTCAGATGATAAAAAGAGAGAACTAATTCTTGTACCTGTTCACTGACTTACATTCACAGTATTTGAGCTCCACCCCACTCTCCAAATAAATAATGTAAAAAAGAAAACAGCCGTATTTAGAACCAACATGTACTGTGGAAGGTCTGTCTCTGCAGAGGATAGAGACTGTTGGAGAAGATGTGTGGCTCTGGCTTCCTCTTGTCTGAGCCTGAAGCCCTGAACATAAATAGCAGAATTCAGATCCTACTCACCACCCTCAGCTGAGTCGTCTTCTTTTGGCACAGATACCAAAGTAGCAGGAAACTGCTGGAGTTCTACAAGTTCTGTAACCCTCAGAATGCTCTTGACCATTTATACAGATGCTGAACTCTTTGTGCAGGGGCAGACCACACAAGATTTGTAGGTGTTTAATTAGAGGCAGATATATTTGTGGAACTTCAGAAATCCTCAAAGCATCAGGAAAGGTTGGGTTATTTATTTTTTGCCTTACTGAGCCCGTCCTCAGCTTCTCAGGAGACCCTTGTTGGCCGTGGCCCCTGCTGAGCACTTGGCTCTGTTTTTTAGCAGTCGGTGTGTAGTGAGATGTGTGTTTCATGAGTGTGTCAGGGAGAACTTCAATCGTCCATGTTTGTCCTTTGGATTCTGATCTACTCTTAACCTCCATGAGGCTTTCTCAATTTTTTTTATATTTGTTTGTTTGTTTTGGTTTCGGGGGACAGGGTTTCTCTGTGTGTAGCTCTGGCTGTCCTGGAACTCGCTTTGTAGACCAGGCTGGCCTCGAACTCATAGAAATCTGCCTGCTTCCGCCTCCCCAGTGCTGGATTAAAGGCATGCGCCACCACTACCTGGCGGCTTTCTCACTTTTTTATTGCAATTTCCAAAAATATTAGGCAGTAAGCAGGATTTACATGTAGAAGGAAATTTACTGTATTTAAAAATTGC